AGCTTTTTCGTTATGTTTTGTAATCTTTCATAAAATCAACGTTATTCAGAAATTGCATTTAAAGTATGCAATTGCCAAAAAATACGAGAACAAGTCTTTTTATATGAATAAAATAATTAGAAATTCTAACATTCATTCTTACAAAGAACTTATTATTTATTAGAACTTATTTTTTGGGGGGAGGGTCGTTTTCAGTCCACATTATCGCTTCCAGTCTACATCGATTTTTATCCAATCGGATACCTTAACAAAGAAACAAAAAAATTGCGTTGAATCATTAAGAACTTCAAAGCTTTTTCGTTTTGATCGGCCCTGATAATAATTCGTTTGGCTTTGATAAGATATTTTTCCTCATTTAAACACTAAAGTGTGATAGTTTTATAGTTCTTTTTTTTTCCTTCCAGATTTTAAAAGGACTATTTATGACAAAATACTTCGTAGCTATTTCTCTCCTACAACGTTTACTTTCATTATTTTTATTTATTTACTTTCAGCGAGCGTTATTTCTACTTACTCCTAGCATAACACAATCAACACTACATTTTAAATGAACATAGCACAATTAAGAATGTAAGATCAAGACCAAGTGTACTATAACAGAGTGTGCAGTAATAGTAGATTTAATCTTTTTCACCTTACCTTAATTCTCTTACACAGATCTCAAAGAAATAAATCAAGATTCAGGTCATCGCTTCAAAAGTATAAAGATCTTATTAGATCTTAGATATTTAAATGCGAATATTGATTAGTAATTCTTTTAATCTCGGCATGCATCTCTTTTTAATTGGTTTCCTAAGCTATCATTGAAATTTGCCTTACTTCAATAAACAAGTCAACTTTTCATTTTGTGAAGTAGCGAAGTTAACTGTTGACTGAGCTTGTAGCCAAAACGTAAACATTTGACTCAACTTTGTCCAAAATGTAAACAAAAACCGGTTTTGAAGAGTACTTGTTCGTCCCCAATGAGGACTTGTTATATACATAACAGAATCGGTTGAACTTTTTTCCTAACTTCGAATAACAACAAAACCCAATACAAACATTTAAAGAGAAAACGAAACAAATACATAAGACGCTCATCCCCATTCTAGTGGTCTATTAAGCACTTTATACTACTCATTCAAAAGCATTGAAGTTCTTAAGTGACTTTGTGGTACAAACCTACGACCTTCTCTGGCAGTGTCCTGATAGCAATTTTCCTATCCAGCGGCTTTTAACTCTCTCTAGAATTTTTTTTAACTAAAGAAAAACATGATTCTAGCCTTTTTTTTTTAGTTCAGGTAGCAAATTTTATAGGAACTAAAAGCTTGCCGTGTAATTGCGACTAACTACAGCCAAGACGAAAATCTAAAAAAAAAAGAGAGAGAGTCGCCAAAGGCCGTTCGATTGTAAGTTAGCGCCCGAGTAATCACCTGGATCTGTTTGTATAAGTATGAATAGTATGGTTAAAGTAACTTGTGCTCTGCATTACTATGCAGCGAAAGCAAAGTAAGACGTTTGTTTTTACTAACACATTATAAAGTCTGCCTCCGTGACCGAAGGGTCCTTCCACCAAACCTTCCAAAATGTGGATGTAGCTGGTTGGAATTCCTCCGAAACTTTGGAGTATCTTTGCGCTGTCCTTCTCTAACTCAACTCAGAATCGATTTGCACCAAATTCGGTATACATACGTTTAAAGACACGGCGGATCTAACCCTCAACTTTATAACTCCCAATCTAAACACTAGTTCGCGCGCTACATTACAACGAGAGAAAAAATAGTGCGTGGAGTCCCTCCGCGCTTAAGAAGTTAAACTTCGTAATGTGGAAATGAAAATAAGAAGGGGTAGAAATTGATTTTTAGTGTAATCATATTGTTTCTTTAAGACAAACTTTATTAACAATGCTTACAATTCACAATTGATCGCATCTTTTAATTATCATTTTCGAGTGGAGAAGTATCCAAATCTATAACATTTGCAATGGGATTATGATAACTAAAGTAAGATACGAAATGTTTGAGTTCTATTTTTTCAATATTTCTTGCAAAAACTGCATCAATGGTAGTTATCTCATTGGTTGTTGGATCATTTCTACCATTTATCATTTCCAATCCAAATTTGTCTTTAAGGAAAATTAATAATGTTTCAGCTTCAGGTAATTAGAAATTCACATTAAAATCTCCTGCAAGGATCACAGGCCGCTCACAATAATCAATTTCTTCATGCCAGAGCTTGTGAACCTGCAGTGGATAGTGGCAATAAAGATTTTGCAATAAATAATATAATATCCCTCATGGCTGCATTTGGTGAAATATAAATGGCAATTCGAAAAGAGAAAACCTAACAATCAATTGATATTCACAAGAGACGTACCTTGACATAACCTGAAATCCGTCGCATTGTCCGTGGGATTATTTTCACTCATTTTTTACAATTGTTATCCACTACATTTGAAAATAAAAAATATTACCCTATTAAATTATATGTGTATTTAATCAAACTAAAATATTTAACCAAAACAATATGGAAATGAATGAGGGAAAACTTTATCCTACCACGTCATTTCCCGGCCAATAAAAATGTAGTGTTAAACGTTTGAAGCAACCTTGTTGGAAGTCGCATACGAAGTATAACTTCAAAAAAAATTTAATAGGATTTGCTAAATATTTTATATGAGTCATTTACTAACTTGCAGCTCTAATTTATCAAATATTAGTTTTATTCCTCATCCTTTATGAATTATTTATCTTTGGTTTCCTTTGTTAGGTTATCATACCTAGAATCAACGTTAATAATTTCGCTATGTATTATCATGACATCATTGAATTCGCATTTTTAAAGGTATATGGAACTGCGTGTTTCTTATATTTATATCTACGCTTTTGAGGAGTGTCTAAATAAACTTAAATAATTGAAACTCACACGAACTAATAAAATAAAATTAAAGTTATTGATTAAACTAATGGAAAATTTTGATAAATTCTGTCGGTATGTGTCTTTCAGGTTTGTGAGTGATTTCGTGGTGTTGATAGATAACGATTTATTGAATTTTTTTCATTTTTTTTCATCTCGTACGAAGAACGGGCTTACAACTTGTACAAATGAATAAAGAAAGAAAATAATAATTTTGTCTCGTTTTTTATTTCATTCTCATTGAGAGCGATCTGTACCAAAATCGGACTCATGATCTTTTTCTAAACCACGTTCCAGTCGATGGTGATTGGTGGAGAACTATAGAAGTAGTCCCTTGCGATTGCTCAAAACTGGAGAGCGAATGTTTAGAAATTACATATAAGATGAACTGCTCACGCATGCGCGAATTGCGTGGACATGCGTTCGCATATGCGAATTACTTACAGTGAGAATGCTCCATAAGCCTCACGCTCCAAATAACTGATTGATACGAAAAAATACAAACAACGAGTTATTTTACTTTTCGTCCATCTCTTGAAAGTTCAATTATCAATAAAACAGACTTCATTGATTTAATTTTTTAATCATTTTAATATTATAAAGGATAACACTAAACATCCAAGTTTGTAAAAAGCATAAAAGCAAATTTAATTTTTCTGCAAAAGAACATTTAACTTTACGATCTAATCACAAAGCTTAAGTGTTCTAAAGAAGGTATTTCTAATAAGCAAATGGGAAAATGATTCACTCTAATTGTCATTTGAATTCGGAAGAAAGGAAAACTTTTTCGAATTATTCTTCGAATTCCAGTACAAGATCTTAAAACTTCGAAATCACATCCAGGGAAATTAACAAAACTTCTAAATATTACCCTCTTGAGAAATCTTCCAATATCGCTTTGTTTCTGTGCTCTTGAAAAGGTTTTCTCCACTCTTTCGAGTCCAGTTTATTTGTTTCCGATCGAAATGCTTCGTACTTAAATACCTCAAGAGAGTAATACTTCCTAGAATGTACAATTTTAAATCCGATTCTCGTAAATACGCGGGTATGAGAACGATCTATTTTTTGGCGATAGAAAAGAATTGAAGAGATTCAGCCAAATGAGAAACCGATATTTGGGTTTTATTTCTTTAAAGACAGATAGAAGAAAATCGATACATTACATACGGTTTCGCAGTTTTGAATAATTTTCTTTTTTTTTCTATTATTTTACCTTTTATAAAGTCATTGAGCAATTCCGCGCTATGCGTTTTTTAGTGACAATAAATAATAATCATATCATGCACGGACGTGATGTCAATATGATACTCTCGTATTACTTCTCGTATTAGTATGCATACTAAGGTGACAAGACGTCCTCAAATCTTGAGGACAGTTCTCGAATTTAATAAGTTGTTCTCAAAAAAACTTTCAAACTCTTTGTGGACAGAATATTGTTACAAATCTTGCTCTCTGTCTCAAATGTCCTCGTATTGTCCCATTTCTTTTTATATGCAGCGAAATATCAACAACAAAAAAAGAGAAAAATCAGAAATGAGCATGTTTTATAAAACAAGATAATTTTGTCGTACGGAAAATGCTATCGAAAAGCAAAAAATGCATCATGCTAAAACTGACTTATGGAAACTCCATATTCGCCTTTAAATAATTTCAGCAAAAAATAAAATAATCATGAACTTTATTTTACAAGTGTTAAACAAATGCAGAAGAGCGAATGATGTATTAAAACTACTTGGTAATCGCAAGCTTGGTAAAGATGGTTCTGCATCTAAGTTATTATTTTTTTTAAAAAAAGAAAACTTTTTGGCAAACATAAATTAATATTTTCTATAAATAAATGGATATCCTCGAATCCCAAAATTTTTTGAGGACGTCTCGCTGATTTCTCCTCAGATCCTGATTTAGAAATCTGGTCACCTTTGCGTGTACTACGTACTCTCTAATACGTAAACTTTCGGAGTATGCAGGCCTGGGGAAGCGCTTATTCGTCATTCTGCTGGTCCTGAAGGATTTAAAGAAAAATTCACGATGGAGACGACGATAATACTTTGTATTTAAATTGTTCGTTATAAATTTATCTGAGTTCATTTTCATTTTATTTTCAGATGTGTACATATAACAGACGTAGGAATTGGATACTTATCAACAATGAACAACCTATGTACTCTATACCTACGTTGGTGTACTCAAATTAGAGACTATGGAATAAAACATTTGTGCTGCATGCGAAATCTACAAATTCTTTCACTAGCAGGTAAATTTGACTCTAACTATTATACATAATTTATGAAATAAATGTATGAATAATAACTTTTTTTATCGCAAAAATTTAAACGTTTCTAGAGATCGATATTTCATATAAAAGTAAAGAAAAAAATATCTCTTGCATTGTATTTTAGAAAGAAACGCACGCAAATATGCATTATTTATTGTCTTCTGTATGAACAAAAGATTCCGTATAATACTGCAATAGAACTGAACTAGATTTTTAAGCAACTCCCTCTATAAATTTCTGAAGAGAATAGGAAGAACAAGTTCTTATTGTAGCAAGATTATTTATTTAAGAACAAAAAGTTTTTTTTTACCTTAGATATGAGGCTAACAATTACTTCATTCAGCCATTAGTTTGACAAAAGTCTACAAAACGTCTTACAAAACGTATCCTTAGCTAGGAAAAAAAAAACTAAATCGTTTTAGTCAAGCTAATGGTCAGTCACTTTAGTGATTCGAATCAAATCAAATATACTTTTTCGGATAAATGAATTTTATCGAATCATTCAAACCTTTAGCGAAAAAAACCAACAAAGTTTATTCAGATTAAAGAATCCGAATCCTTGGTTTCAATAAATTGATTCAAATAAACTAATATCAGTCAAGAAATAATTATACTTGTCATAAATTTACAATATGAAGCTAATATCAAGCTAAAAGGTTAGTCACTTTCGTGATTCAAATACGTTTTTTTGGATAAATGGATTTTATCCAATCATTCATACCGTTAGCAAACGGAACCAACAAAACTTAGATTAAAGAATCCGAATCCTTGGTTTCAATAAATTGATTTAAATAAACTGATATCAATAAAATAAATAATGTTACGTTTATAGATTTATCATGCGAAGAAATTTTCTCGAATATGCAATATTATACATTTTGTTGGCTTCTACAATAAACTCTTTTTAAGTCTGCTACAGCGCCACAACAATTAACCCCTTAAACGCCAAAATCAGAGCAGTATTAGCCCAGTGGTTAGAGAATCGGTCTCTGGAGACTGGGGTTCGATCATCTACTCCACTAAAACCCACCGATTACATGCGATATACATGCTCGTAAACTCTGTGGAATCCAAAGTCCTGTGGTCTGTCTGACCATGGGTACAAAGATCTGGAGAAAATTCCGTTCCCCTTCAGATTTATGCCTAAATTGAGGAAGTGACCTCACGACTGAGTGGTGCTGCTATCTATCCGTGCTATTCTGAGCCAAGACATACTTCACCCTAGCGGTGCTCTCCTGTTAAACGAAAGGCGCACATTTCCGACTTAATTCGCAACGCCAATGGCTGGCAATTTTGGCTTGTCCAAGTGTCATTAGCAACGAACGACGACAAAATTGTAATAATTTACAGTCTTACTTTTTCAAAAAGATAAAAACTTGTAATTCAATTCATTCTTTTTTTTAAATTCATTTCGGTGAAACAAAGACATATGCGTTCTGCAAAGCATTATATTTAGATAAGTAACAATATTTTGATATGAAATTATGTAAAAATGGTAATCACATTAAAAATTAATAACTTAGATTAATAGCTAATTTCGCGCCATTTCATTCAAAAAAAATCTAAATATCATAACAAAGCGGGTAATGCTAAAGAGCATGATCTCTTAATTGAAATATGTTAAGTTGAAATATGGTTGTTTAATTTGATTATTTTTTCTGTAAATGTCACTTAAATTAAATATTCGATTATGTAAACTAATTCGTTTGATTTGAATCACTATATAATTCATTTTACCAAACTCTAGCATCAAACAAATCTACTGCGAATGAATTTCTCTTAAGGAATGCTATTACGTAAAGACATTCTTTAAAACAAGCCAACACATAAAAGTGGAACTTTTGTCAAGCTGGAACCAAATCAATTGAATCAAAAGAATTGGAACCAAATCAATATTACACTAAGTGTCACTTAAATTAAAGATTCGATTACGTAAACTAATTCGTTTGATTTGAATAACTATATGATTCATTCTACCAAACTTAAACATCAAACAAATCTGCAGCAAATGAATTTCTCTTAAGGAATGCTATTACGTAAAGACATTCTTTAAAACAAGCCAACCTATTAAAATGGAACTTTTGTCAGACTGGAACCAAATCAATTGAATCAAAAGAATTGGAAGCAAATCAATATTACACTAAGAGTCACTTAAATTAAAGATTCGATTACTTAAACTAATTCGTTTGATTTGAATCACTATATAATTCATTTTACCAAACTCAGCATCAAACAAATCTGCAGCAAATGAATTTCTCTTAAGGAATGCTATTACGTAAAGACATTCTTTAAAACAAGCCAACACATAAAAGTGGAACTTTAGTCAAGCTGGAACCGAATCAATATCACACTTGAATATTACACAAAATGTCTTCAAGAATTACAGAGCGTTTATTGTTCGCCAACAAGAATTCCCTGAGATTCATGAAAGATCTTTAAATACCGCTTACGTGACAGATCGGCTTACCGCCAAATGGGTGTTTGGCGAGCAAAGAACCACCTGAGATTCTCTTCTACACTTTTGTGACTTTTAAAATAACAACCTTGACATAAAGAGAGCAGGTATCTTCCAACTACCATCCATTAGTCACACTTCTTGGCTTGGATTTCGCTTGGAAAAGCGTAACATTTCTCACACCTAGTTAGAAAGAATTGCATGCATACTCACCTTTTTTAATGCTTACTTAGCTTACTCTTCACTCCAACTTCGTCAACAATTTACCTTACCATCAAAAGAAAATGAGATAAACATTTTTTTAATGCAAATGAAATAAAATATTCAACAATTTATTGCATTACAGAGTTAACAACGGAACTAAATTAAAATATTAACTATACCTTCCTCAATTGTGCTTCATTCATTAATTATTAAAAGTAATGACTCCTATAAATATGCCTCTGCATAGGTCTTTAAGTTATATTCGCCATTTTAACGAGATATTTTTAAATTTTCAACTTACCTTAAAAAAATTAGACATTTTAATTATTCGTAAAATTCGCATGAATAGGAAGAAGTTTAATAATTTTCACTTCATGGTTGGTTGGTTATAAGTTTAGTTCAATGACACTAGAGCTGGAAGGGGCTAAACTGCGCCAAATACAAATGGTAATATTCAAACTCTGTTATTAAAAAAGATTGAGGAGAATTTAAATAAAGTAATAATAAATATATTTGGGTTACGTGGCCATGACGAAAGTGAATCTTTTATGGGGTTTGTACTTTACAGTAGTATTGGATAGTACCATAATAGAGTAATACCATCGTAGAGTTGGATAGTAGGATAATATACTTGGATGAAAAATTTTAATCACCTATGGTGATTCATCTCAATCATCGTTTTGGCAATGATTTGAATATGTAGATTGAACTAGTTATTTCGAATCTATAATTCGAATAAATGTACTGATCCATTTTGTCCTTGATTTTTATCAGTTTATTCATTTATCAGTTTACTGGTTTTATCAGTTTATTTTAAACATTTATCAGTTTATTGGCTCAGTATTTATTACAAGCGGATTAATAGAAAACAATGTTACCATAAATAAGTCATCATATTCCGAACGTTGTTTTTTTTTTTTTTAAATAAAAGTGCAAAAACTATAAACATGAGTGATACAGCCGCGTTGGCTCAGAGAAAAGAGCGTTTGCCTCACAATAAGGTAGCCCTGTTCGAGTCCGAACGATGGTTGGTTGGTACGAATTTTGCTCCCGGAGCACAATGCTGACGTAAAATATCCTCAGTTGTGAACGAAATCATGGATTAGAATATCTTGCCGTCTAGTTAGCCGTGTGAGGCTTTCGTGGTTTTCCTCCCCATGTAAGGGAAATGAGGGCTAGTTCTATCAAAAAGTCTTTCACTAAAACTAGTTTGTCCCAATGCTTGATTCCCCTTGTCTCTGGAATTAGTTCAAAATTACAAGGCTACGTAGTTGAACATTGATAGTCGTAAACTAAGAATTGGGTCGACTGTTAAAATGAAATAAATATGCGTAGTAGGTACATGAATAGTACGTACCTGAACATGAACATGCGTATTACGTACATGAACAGTATGTGCATGAAAAGTTCGCCTAATTACAACAAAAACTGAAATGTTGTATTGATTTCAAATAAAATTAATTCTAAATTGAAGCAACCAGAATTTTAATGATTTATCGTTGCTCTGAAAAATAACTGTGTTTCGAATTATCGAATTAACAGATTCGAATCAATTACAAAATAATGATACAAGTCACCGAATCAGTACCCAATTCTAGAATCCAGATGGGCCATGGCAATAGAACTCTATTCATCACTGCCAGCATTTTATGAAACTCAGTAGTTCTGGGCAAATTTTCAAATGCTTATCTTTGGATGCATCATAGTTTTAAATATATATATTTTAAAGTCTGAAGAGAGGAATCATCTATATGAAACTTCCAGTATTATGTATTTCATAAGTAACATTTTATATTTGCTTAAAATAAAATTATATACAAAATAATATTAAAAAGTTGTTGAAAAATGAATGTATGTACTTACAAAAGACAATCGTCCAACTTTAATATTAACCAATCAACAAAAATGCACACTATGAACTAAAGATTAGCGCTAAAAATATTTTTGTATTGATTAAAGGTACAAAGAAAAAAGTACATGTTTTAAGAGAAGAAAAAGTTTATCAACGTTTATTTCTGTAATATTAAACGCTGTAATTATTGTTATTCAATGAAAACAAATTTTAGCTAATTTCTTTAATTGCGTTAATTTTTTCTTAATGATCGCTCTGAAATAACGTCCTAGTCCCTCAGTTGGAGCGAAATTTCACTTCTTAGTTTTTTTCTTTTTCTTTGCCTTCTTAACCTTAGTTTTAGCTGTCGTGGCCAACTTCTGCTTCATCTGCATTCCATAAATATCGCAATCCAAAAAGCTCAGACAAGAGATTGGGCAACTATCCATCAGAAAGCCAAACCCTTTACCGCTCTCGTCACCAGAGTCCATAGCATTTTGAGCAGAACTATGCAGATACTTGGCTACAACCATGGCCACTACTTCTAACCAAGCAGGAAGAAGAATCCATATAGCAAGATTCGATAGCATCAATCGCAAAGTTGCAGAGGCGATTTCGCTACAACCGCTGGAATAGAACGCTTGACCCTTTTCTACAGTGTTATATCCTGGACGCTTGTGTTCACCAGAATCGTGAAGACAGGGTCCCGTGTATGCAGGATCGCAGCAGGTGAATGGAACGCCTCTACCTTTCATGGACTGTAACTCTGGGCGAATGTATTCATCGGAATGCCATGATATCTCGATCCAATCTCTAAAAAGGCAAGATTCAAACATGGGTATCTCAATAAAACTATAAAAAAGTGCATTAAAATGCCTTAAAATTTGAAGAATTCTTACATACTCAAACACGAAAAATAAGACACAAATAGTATAAAACTATAGTTTGTCTAAAATAAAAACTCCAGGCATCCGTCTGAACCTGTGGCGGTAACTATGGTAACGAGGTATGACTATTTCAAGTAGGGATGCGAGGTCACTGTTTTGGATTGTTTTCGGCTCTTGTCGGCGAGAGATTGGGAATCTCTTTCTTCCTTCTATTGTGTTAGTCCTAGAGTGAAGGTACCCTCCTTAAAATGCGCCATTCTTGTTTCCATAGCACCAGACAGCCCCACACTTTGTGGCGGGAAGAGTTCTCAGCTTAGACAGACTATATAATTCGCAATAATTATGTTCATAAATGGTATAAAAACATAATTCACTATAATTAAATTAAATGGAGCGAAAGTTGATACTAACGAGTCTCAACCCAATGCTTTCAAATAAATTTATTATATAATTGCATAAAAAAAAAAACAAATTTTTATGAGACAAAAATAACAAAAATCAAAACAATATAATGTTAAATTTATATTTTATTCACCGAAGTCCCTCAGCTTGTATATGTTTAACAAGCAGAGGAAAAAAGAAACAAGCCAAATCTTTCTTTTCTCGAGAAAATCAGTAAATAAAAGAGTACTACACAATTTTTGGTACTTATCCATTTCCCCAGAGTAGGCGATAAAGTCGCCAATGCACCTTACAAAATGCAAGTAAATTCAACAGTTTTCACCCCTTTTTTTAAATAAATAGATAAAACAGCCGAAATTGGAAATAGCGAAATGTAAAAGCACCCTATTTTTTTTACTGAAAATTTTTCTTCCGAACTGTAAATCTGCAAAGAAATGCGCAAGAATATGTACATTTTGTTGAACTGAAAACCTATTCTTTACCTAAAACTATTAAGTAGGTAGGTACTTTATTTACGTCACACTAGCGCTACACAGGGGGCTATTGGTCTGGGAAACATCCCTAAGGATGTTCATAGACATGCCATCACAATTTTGATCCTCAGCGGAGGGGATGGCTTCCCAGCTTTGGTAGCCCGATATCCTACGCGCGAAGTTGAGCACTTTACGGTAGCACCATTTAATAAGGATCGATACCACGTGCCCTCGGTTCCTACGCAGGCTGATCAAAGTGGTCACCCACTCGCTTATTGACAGCATCCAGTTTACTTCTGTGCTCCACTGAGAACCGTTTCTTCACACAGTGCGGGATCAAAAAGTGTTAAAGAATACACCTCTTTGGTTTTAATTAGATGTCCAATTGAAAATTCAATTGGGTAAGAAACCGGAACACAAAAATTCATTTGCATACCCTTCAAAAATAAATTAGTTAAAATGTACAACAGATAAAATGGCTTAGAACCGCATTGATTGTGGTTATTTTTTAATCAAAAGAAGAAAAGAAACGTACATATTAATTCAGATTACAAAATGAATTTGCGAAGAATTGGTTTCATTATTTATTTATTTTCAATTTTAATAAGTCCCGCAGTGGACTGATCGTTAATACACGGTTCCCAGCAGATCACCGAAGTCAAGCATCACTGGCTGCGGTCAGTGTGCGCGGTATTGGTCCTCGCTAAACTGTTCTACCGTAAAGTGCTCGACTTCGAGTGCAGGTCGTCAGGCTACCGAAGAGGGGGTGCCATCCCCTCTGCGGAGGATCAGAATTGTGATGGCATGTCTTCGGATCATCCTCAGGGATGTTTCCCAGACCGTCACCAATAGCCCATTGTGCAGCTCTAGTGCGACGTAAATGAACAAATCAATCAATCAATCAATTTTAATAATTATGTTTTGATAAAACTAAAATTTGCTTAAACTTATTCTGTCTGCAAATTTAGTTTTATTTAATTTCGAAAATTCTCCTTAAACCCGTTTGGGTACTAGGGAAACCAGAATAAACATTTTCAACAATCCAATATGTTTGAGTACTTACTGGTAACTTGTACTTCCACAACACTTGTTGGAAATTTGCATCATATCAATTTCTTTCCTAGCGTTCCCATCCACGTCATACTTCCCCATTAAATCTTTGAATCCCTTTTCGTGGCCTTTCTGTAAAGAACGTACAGCTGCGGAACAAGAAATACTTAAAGCCATAGTTAAAACAAAAGCTCCAAACAGGACCCCAATATAAGGCACCACATAATTCAAAATTCGCAATCGCGTTATTACACTGGAACAATCGTGGAACAATTTCGCTCCAATCAAATGGATAATAATCAATATTATACTTGAAAATATGATGAAGTGTGTATGTTTTTTGTAATTGAAATTGTTTAAAATAGCTTTTTGTTGAGAAAATAGAACAGCTAACCCGATGCCTAGTCCAACCATAATTAAGTTCATCATGGCAATTGATAGATGCAAAAAAAGCAACACAATCCCCATATAGTGGCGGGCATGTTCTCCTAAGCGGATGGCTAAAACGGCCATAAAATATGCTAATTACCTTTACAAGATTTAGCAAGAAAAATATGCTTTATTGATAGTATTGAGTATAGTTTAGAGCGGCCAGCTCTCTGCTTATCGCTTATAGCTCTGCGTTTCTTTATTGATAGTTGACTTGTTTCGCTTATGTGCTTGCTTTTAATATACTGGATAATTCTAGCTTACAGCTTACTTTATTCCTCGTACCGGATTGAAAAAAGCGTGTGAGCTGAAATGATATGAAAATCCGTTTAATATGTTTTTCTTTTGATACTAATCATCAATAGAGAAAATCCTTAAAAATACAATAGCCATAAAAGCAGTTTAAGAAACGGGTTGAAATGATTTGTCCATTTCCTAAATCATTCACTTTGAACTTAGTCCATTTTCTGAAACGCGTATTTCTGGCGAGCTTCTTTTTCATTATCATTTTACCTTAAACTCTTAAAATATATATATAGGAGTTATAACGTTGCATCTTCACGTTTTACTTAGACTTTAAAACATTGCTGTAAAACTTCAAGAGAAAGTGTTTTTTCACAATATAGATTCAACTACGTTTGGTTAAAACGATATATGAAAGTAAAAATGGCGTAAGAAACATTTTTTAGAATTGGGTGATTATGCCTAACAATGTAATTTAAACCAGATTTAATTGGATACTTGTAAGCGACATCACGCGTGTGAGTCGAACCGGTATCCAATTGAAGAGTTAAATAAAAGAACATGTTAATTATATTATGCGAAGTCCAAATCCCCCCTCCAAGCTTTTAAGACAGATATTCTTACTCTGTATTACCGCCTTAAGATTGGGGCATTATCATCGCATTGCTAGTTTCGTGTTGATGCAGATTTAAGTAAACAGAGCTAAATCACCAAGAAAATATTTATATATTCACAAATTGTTTAACTGTGTAGTGCCATACTTAAACACTTAGGAAGAAAAATAAAAATAAAAAACTGAAAATGCAGCCTGCTTGCGTCAGACGGCAATATAACCATGGAAAAATAATTTCTTGTTCCACATCTTTAATTAAGGCAATTTTCAATTCAGAACCTTTTAACTGTTTCGTTTTCAATGTTTATATTTGACACATATTGAGGAGATCTCCGAAGCCAGGAAACAGGTTCGATAAGTTTTATTACACAACAAGCTCTGCGTTGTGTATGTTTGATAAAGGGAAAACTTCTTTCCACGCTTCAGAACAGATTTTTGCTTATATTAGAGCAAAAATGAGGATTTTATAAGCAAAATAATATTTATGTTTTAGTTAATTCCGATTAACAGTTAACCTAGCAATGTCACAAAATGAAAAGTTGACTGGTTATCCGTAGGATAATACAAATTTTACAATTATTAAATTAATAAGACATATTATACAACTATTGAAACTCACTATTTTGAAATTGTGTCAAAACATTTTCTTTGTAATTAATATTTTTAATCCCAATTTTTAATCGTATTGTGCGTAAAATAAAAAAACGAAACACCTGATTTAAGATCGGATTTTGTCGTATTAACAAAAATCCCAATCGTTCCATAAATAGGTCCAATACGGTAATTAATAATGGCAGATGATATTTTAAATTACGGAATCAGATACAAAACGTATTTTCTTCGAATAAACATACATTTGTAGTTGCAGATTTGGATTCTTTTTATTTTATTTTATAACCCTCGTTGAACAACCGACCCAATTTTAGGTTTATAATTTTGAACCAATCCAGAAGACATGAAAGTTCCTGAATCAGTAACCCCAGAGGTATAATTTGTTATGGGAGCATGGAGGACTTTGAGACTCGGCAGATTTAACTTGCAGCAGTTACCATTTACTACACGGAAAGTCTTCGGCCGGCGGGGATCGAACCCAAGACCACTTGGACATGGGTCCAGTGTCCTACCAACCAGGCTATCCCGGCCCAGATACGGATTCTTGACCTTTTAAAATAAAGGGAATCAGCTTCAATAGGGAAAATATTTTCCCTATTGAACAGGGCAAAATTTTAGATTCTTTTAATGTTGCCTTGAAAACCATGGAATTTCTACTTAGTACACGAAAATTCGATTATCAGACCAAAAGTAACTCGGATGTTTGTTTATTTATTAATTTTATTTTGCGCACTTAAATAAATAAAAAAAGTTCATTTGTGTAACATTAAATTTCAAATTGCACAGCACTGCCAATGTATCTTAGCAAGAAATACATGCAATCAATTTTATTTCTAATTGTGTTCCAGGTTGTTCATTGGTTACAGCAAACGGATTATCAACATTGACACAGCTACGGCACCTTCAAGAGCTAGAATTAACCAATTGCAGGGGCGCTTCAAAAGAACTAGTACAGTATTTACATCAAAACTTGCCTCGTTGTCTCATTATTGAATAAATTATGTAATTATACTATCAATCAAAATAATTACTACCAAACATTATCTATCAGCATAAAAATAATTAAAGCTACATTATTTTAAATATGTATATACAGTGAAGCCTCTCGGGAGTGGCCACTCTCTGTTCCACAGTAAAATGGTCGTTAATGGAGGTTGGTTGTTGAATTCATTGACTTCAAAATGTTATCGAAGGTGCAGGAATTCTTTGCAAGCAATTTCAATTTTACTCAGCATCGTTTTCTTGGTGCAGAAAACCCACTAGTTTTGGCGTCATGAAAACCGGATTGATGAATAAAATTTAGCGTCAATAACAATGACCTTTACTGATATAATTATGAGTAAAAACCAATTTACCAATTGAGAATGATAGAACTATTTTAAAATAAATAAACAATTATAGTAATGTTTAAGTTAGTTTTTAATTGTTTATCAGAAACATTAGTTTGCTTTAAAAAAATGAGATGTTTATTTGTTTAAGACGCTTAGCTTTTTGGAAAATAATTTTTTTTCTAATTTAACTTTCAACTCTAAATCATTAATAGTATTGTGTCTAGTACACACTGACTGCAACATGAGGTTGTCAATCTCTTTCAGAGATTGTCAAAAAGAGCTCTCTAAATGGGAGCCACTCACAAATATTTTGAACACATTTGAATCTACTTATTTGTTTTGTTAATATTTTTTGCTTCATTGTTTCAAACCTAAACATCTCATGTTCAAAACTAAACATCTCGAACAATTGTTATTTGTTCGAGATGTTTAGTTTTATCGAAAATAACTTTTTTTCTAATTTAACTTTCAACTCCAATAATGAATCATTAATAGCAATGCGTCTAGTACACACTGACTGCAACATGAGGTTGTCAATCTTTTTCAGAGATTGTCAAAAAGAGCTCTCTAAATAAGAGCCACTCACAAATATTTTGAACACATTTGAATCCACTTATTTGTTTTGTTAATATTTTTGACTTTGGTATTTTTTCGTGTTTCCTTATTTGACTTTTCCGCATTTAGTGCAGAGGTTTTTTCGGTCTGTGGAAAAGGTTTTGATGGCCCCTCTTAAAGGCTTCCTTCAACACGAAGTTTATGGAAAAACTTCTGCGTGTCCCAAAAGTAGTCTTTCCTGGAGGTTTCACTGTACGATAGTTACTAAAAAATAACCTATTTTTCTGTGAGAACTGTGTTACATACAGTATGTTTAAATATTCACAGACATTTTTATCATGCATCCCATCTTAATCTATATTAATCGAAAGCTTGCTAGTTTTCAAAGTAACAGAATGATTTCACAAAATAAATAGTAAAAAAGCAAATAATTTAATTAAATAGCAAATAATTTAATTAAATAGCAAATAATTTAATTAAATAGCAAATAATTTAATTAAATAGCAAATAAGTTAATTAAAAATTATTTTACTTCAAATTCAAATATTCTTGTATGCTTAGAATAAATTGTTAGTTCAATCAATTTTAATAGCAAAAATGACAACTTTTAAGACATAAAACATAGCTTAAAATGTAAAACAATAAAAATCATGTAAATAATTTCTTTCATTTATGGCAAGGCACAAGTATCATATGAATCATGCAAATTAAAAAAAGAATTAAAATAACAAGAATCATATGATTTATAAAACTAAGCATTTTTTTAATCTACTTGAAAAATGTTTTCTCACTACCTAATATATCAGTAAATTAAAAATAAATCTAATAAAAAAAAACATAACCCCACATATAAAACAAAAATAATACAGATCCCATAGAAAAATATGGTAAATATAGTAACTAGCAATTATTATGACACCAGATTTTTTGCGGTCTATTTTTCATGCTTTTTTTAATGTTTGTCAAACCCTTTTAACAAAGAAAATATTTTTGGCAATATCACAATTGCTTTTTAAAGCGCTCTTAAAAAACAGCAGTAAGAACTTCTTAAGTGTTTAAAACATAATTCAATAACAAGTGCTCTGCTACAGAAAATTAAAACTTAAATTTCATTTTTAAAAAAATCTACCTGTGCAAAACAGCCCGAACACCTTTTTCTTATCTTAAAAAAAAGATGTATTTTCTTAAAGTTCAAACCAATCTCAAACAACTAGTGTCTTATAACAATTATGAATTTAAATTTTAGCTTTAAAAAATGTTTTATAAATTTACTAGCTAGAAGGAATTCGCAAATGTACATACATGAAAAACAAATCCTTTAACTTCAATGCATAATTTGTTATAAAAGAGTAATTTTGGTCAGATTAAGTAAATAATTAGGAAAAAGATTGTAGTTGAACTGAAATTAGAAAAACTAATTCCTTTAGAATATTCTATTTTCTAAATATTTCTTTAGTCCATACAATGATATAAAATAGTGGTGCATAATCTTTGTTTAGAGGAAGCCCACCGGCTATATATTTGAGCTTTTGAAAGTAGCAATGATTCGAAAAATTATGCCAAAAGCAATTTAATTACTACTATGAAAACTACTGAATTGATTCACTTTTAGAATTAAATTAAAAATCTAACAAATAATTATAAAATTTTCAATACGTTTGTATTTATTATTACTTTATATAGGACAAAATTACATTATTTTGACTAATGGATAGCAGTTGTAGCATTTTTAACAATTGGAAATTTTAAATAATTTAAAAAATTTTTGATATTAATAAAGTAAGGAGTTTTTTAAAATATGGTTAACATTACAAGGAAATAAAGAAAAAAATGTTAAGAAATAAGGTTACATACATAAAGTAATTTTAAGAATATTATAAAAATATTCCCAATTCTATATTCATTAAAAAATGTACATGGGAAGCATTTTCGACAAAAAAGGTGGCAATTAGCTGGCAATTCTTTTTTTGCCATTTGTTATGTTTAGTCACTTGATGGCCAGTAGTGACCATTATATTTTGCAAATACTACATTTAAGTGCAAGAATATTGAGACAAACAAGCACTTAATTTACCTACAAAAAATTGCATATTGTTATAGAAAAATAATTTTATTTTTAAAATAAACCCTTGAACTAACTATATCTGCTTTAAAAACCTTATGATTAAACGAATTTCCTTTTAAAAAATTTAGAATTTCTTCTTTTTTTTTTAAATCTAGATTTTTTTTTTAAATTACAAAAATTTTTTAGAAGACTTTTCAAATTATTTCTTAGCTAGAGGGCAATAAGCTGCATATAAACCATTTGAATGACACATTTGTCCTCTGAGCTACAGGTTGTGCATCACTAATATAGAAAAAAAAACAAATATAAAAAGTAGCTTAAAATTTTATTTTAACATAGATAAAAAATAATAATAAACTGTTTAATAGTAATTTAAATTTAGTAATTTAAATTTGAAGATTAGAATAGTAAAACGAATTTATTAGATTCAAAACCACATTCATGCTATTTGTGTTTAATGCCGTATATACGTAAAAAGCTGACCAAACATTTATGTAGATAAATATTGAATTTAAAAGAAAATTTACTTTCTGTGGTCTTCCAATGTGTATAGCAAACCAGAGAGGAAATATTTAATGTTAGATATGTTAGTGACAGTTGAGTGATACAGTTAGCATGCCTGTCAACTGCACAAATAGAAATCTTACTTAAAGATGCAGCGATTAAAAAAAATATTTTTTTAAGATACATTTTAATATTTTCATTTTAAAATAAATTTTTTTGAATAAATTTTAATAATAATTTTAGAAGTAGTTTAATTAACTAAATAAATTAAAATTAATTCAAATTATTTTAATATATTTTTTTTACTTCAATTAAATTTCATATAATCTCACTTTAAGCTGTTACTTTACAGCTGTTTAGCAGTTTAAAATTAAAAAATACAATTATTTTAAGTTACTTTTAAATAATTAGGTTAAAACCAAATCATATAATTAAAATGACAATTTTTATACACAAGAAAATTTATTCTTAAGCTACTTTCCCAACTTCAGTAATTTTTTGTAAAATAATTTTCACCAGAAAAAAATGAATTGCTTTTATTAGAAATATAAAAATATTTTATTCATTTTAAAATCAGTTTTTAGAAACTATAACAAAGACGATTTATTATGTCTTCACCTTAGCCTGTTAGGTTTAAATAAAAAATTAATTAACTTTTTAAGTAATTTTAATAAAGTTGACAGGTATGAGTTAGTTTAGATAATATAATTGCAATCAACAAAAAATTGCAAATTTTTATTAATTTTTTTTATTTATTAAATAAATATAAATTGCACATTTTAAAAATTAATTAAAAATTTAAAATTCGAAAATGAAAAGGGGAAAATGCATAATAAAACTAAAAAATATTATATAACTTAATAATGTTTTAGTAAGTAAAAGAAATAATTTAGGTGTAGCTAAGATGTTTAACAGCTAAATTATCTTAGAGCTACACACGTTGTTTCCCAATAAATTCTTTATATTTATTCTATATTCAACGTCTACAATTATCAAATTCTAAAATAAGAAGAAATTCACACAAATAAATATATATGTTTAAATCAAAGTAGATTTTTTTCCCCTACAACTAATTAATTATTGATATTCATTTATTATAAAATTTAATTAACTAAACCAAAATATTTAGATATTTTATAATATTAATAGTTAGATATGTTCATTTATCTACTTGTTCTAAAAAAACAATTTAAAAAAAACTAAATCATATTTCACTAATTTTTATAATTAAATAAATTTCTGTTTTGCTCAGCTCAAAATATGACATCTGAATAGGAATAAATTTGCAGTTGCTCATTTTATGATACTAATTTTTTATTTTTTAACATTTATAGGAGAACAATGTATTTCTACAAAATTGCTGAAACATTTACATTAAACTGAAGCTGTACAAAAGCAAAATTTTCAAAAAATTCAATTCATTTCTTTAATAATCTTATTATTTCTTTGTAGAGATATGTTACATTTAATTTTCTAATTATTTTTTATTACTCGTAGAGATACAGTCAATTTAAATTTATAATATTTCTTCTTATTATAAGTAACGATACTTCCAATTAAAATTTGTAACAACGACATTTATTCAGAATTATACAAACAAAAAAATATTATGGAAAAGTAAAACTTTTGAACAAAATTTAAATGGGTGTCAAATTATAATTTTTTTTTTTTTTACTGTAACTTATGAAAAAAGGACACTTTAAAACATTAATAGGAAAATTTAAAATACATTAATAAAATATTTTTTTAAGGATTTGTAGTTTGAATTTAAAAACATTTTAAAATTTGAATAAATATCATTTAAATTCCATTCAAAATTTATTAATGGAATTTAAGAGTTATTATGGGTTAACGTTATAAAAACTTGACAACCTCCCTTATATTTAGGATTTAATAAAACATACTTGAAAAAACAATTATTCCATGTGATATAGAACTAGAGTTTGTAAACTTTCCAAAGCATTTAAAAATATGAGCACAATGTGTAAGTAAAAATTTATGACTGTATAAAATTTCTTATTTTGGAAATGTATGTCAGTGTTCAAAAGAATAAATAAGATAAAGAATGTAATATAAGAGAACAATTGATATTGCAGAGTGAAAAACCTGAAAATGTAATTAGCTATTTCAATCTTGAAATATCTAGTATATTCTGATGTAAAAATAGTTACAAATGTATATAATGATTATAGTATATTTCTATGTATATAATATCTTCTAGATCTATCTCTGCAAGACAGATGATATTAAAGGTGTGATATTTCATGCAATATTTAATGAATGTAACTAAAGGCACAAATATAAATATATAATGTATTGTTAAACATTGTAAATAAATATTTCGAATTTATGACTTTGTCATTTTAATACTTTTCAATGTTGTATACAAATCTCAAATATATGTACAAATGTGATATGAAAATATATCATTTAAATGGTAGTCACCATAAGGCTAACATCAAAAAAGTAGTCCACAAAATGCAGGATGATATTGTTCTTGCATTTAATGGCACATAATGTGATTCGTTTCTACAAAAATAACCATACACTTTCAACTCCACCATTCCAATAGACCTAAGCCTGGTTCATTTACTGATCCCTATAAAAAGAAAATATTATTTAAATATTTCAATAATTAAAAAGAGTTAAATTTGATCTAAAAGATTTTATATAACAAAGAATAATTCATTATAAAAACAACAATATTATTACTTCAATAATCAAATTTTGAAGTTATTGTGAAGAGATTTTGAAGTTATTCTATTCCAATTAGAGAATGTTTGAATTTTTAAAAAAAAAAATTATTCTATTCGAAAACAAAATTTTTTTCCATTGCTTTACAGTAGAATAAGTAATCTTAAGCGGCAACTTCTAATATGTCCCTTTTTTTCCCATTCCAAAATAATTTTTTTTTAAATAAATAAAGCGCATAACACTCTGGACAAATTATTCTACGCAATATAGTTTGTAAAATGTATAAAATTTAAAATCTAATATCTTATAAATTTCTCACAAAAAACATCAGTTTAGAGTTTTTTCTATAAATTACAGTAGAAGATATTTATCTAAAGAGGATGCTACACTGTAGTAAAAAACTGTTCTTGGGGAATTTTGTTTCACCTCCATTTATAATTTAAATGTTGAAATCTAGAAGGAAAAAAATAGTTCAGGTAAGGTCATTTTAAATGCAGAAAAAATGTTTCCAAAATATCAAAACGCAAACACGTTATAGTAGGAAAACTCAGTGTTAGGTAATGGGGAAGTAATTTTGCTATAATTTGTTTAAATTTTGAAAACTTTTTTTTCAGCATTTAAAACTTCATGGTTTATTTTTGGTTAACCAGAACTCTAATTTTTCTATACTTCAAATTTTAAATTACCAATGGGGGAGAAACAAAATTTGCCTTGAAAAGTTTCTTACACAGTAAATCGTTCGTATTTGAACTTCTCGGAAATATTTTTCTAAAAGTAATATATGTAAAAATGTTTTTTTAAACAGATTCTTTCTGTTGTGCTAAGTTTTCTAAAGCTGGTATACCTAAATTATGCAAAATGTCCCTTAGATCTTTAATTACATATAATAATATTCCGAGTTGTTAATCATAAATATAATTAGAGAAAGCTAAAATTTAAAAATTTTGAGTAACCAAAATAATTTTTAAAGCCTATCATTGAATATATAAAAGAGATCTAAAAAGATAGGGTGTACTTAGTTTAACCTAGACTAAAGTGAAAAACAATGGAAATAAAGCCATAAATAAAAGGCCACTGGTGTAATCCAGGGTCACAATATCCAGGTTTAGGATAAGAAGACACCCCTACCCACACCAAGAAGTTTCACCAATGAAAACTAAATACAATAAATTATAAAAAAAAATGATAAAAACTAACTGTGTGCAAAATAAAGTATTTTACAAAATTGAGTAAGTGCATTTTACATTTTACTTAAAAATAATAATGGTTTTGTGTTTAAAATATATTTTAAAAAAACTTCAAGAAAGATACTAAAACACACACACATAAATGTTATTAAACACTTGTTCTACTTTGTACGACTCAAAAAATAGAAAAATTCTCACCGTCAAAGAATAAGGAATTCTACGCTCTTTGTCTTCTGATTCCATATTTTCACTTTCAGGACAAGTGGGGGTGGTGTCAACAAATGTTTCTTCTAACACTCGAAACCTAATAAAGAATAGTTTTTTTTAAGTATTGAATACAAAAATTAAAACGCTTCACCATACATAGGTAGTAATAATGGTTTCAAACAAAATATGACAAAACTTGAAACTGAGCAAAATTTTTATATAGAATAAAGAATATAAATACATATGTAATAATATGCCTTAAAAGTCTAGAAAATCCAAGAGACTTTGGTAATTCAAATAAACAGGCATCTATTATTGAATTATAAATTGAATTTTTGCATGAATTACAATGATGTGTTTCCATAGCAGGATTTGGCACAGATTTATTAAGCCATGAAAATATGAAAAAGCCATAAAAATATGAAATAGCTGGAGCCATTTTCAATGGCTCCTGCTATTTAAACAGGGATTTCGAAAGAGGAATTGCTTGCACAAATATTCTTAACTTAATCAAACGCCATTCAAATGGGAAAATTTAGAGATTTTAATATATTCCAAAACATGATGTTATTCAGAGGATAGGGTATTTCTNGACGTATAACCGATTCTGTGCGTCGTATAAACGATATATTTTTACATTAAAATGAATAGGAATGATTTGGGACCACACTAAAACGTCGTATAAATGTAAACGTCGTATAAGTGATCGTCGTATAAACGATGCTCCACTGTATTTTAAAAAAGCTTCAAGAAAGATACAAAAACACACACACACATAAATGTTATTAAACACTTGTTCTACTTTGTACAACTCAAAAAATAGAAAAATTCTTACTGTCAAAGAATAAGGAATTCTACGCTCTTTGTCTTCTGATTCCATATTTTCACTTTCAGGACAAGTGGGGGTGGTGTCAACAAATGTTTCTTCTAACACTCGAAACCTAATTAAGAATGGTTTTTTTTAAGTATTGAGTACAAAAATTAAAACGTTTCACCATACATAGGTAATAATAATGGCTTCAAATAAAATATGACAAAACTTGAAATTGAACAAAATCTTTAAATAGAATAAAAAATATAAATGTAATTTGCCTTCAAATAAAAATAATAATACGCCTACAAATACGCCTTCAAATGATAGAAAACCCAAGAGACTTTGGCTAATTCAAATAAACAGGCATCTTATTAATTCATATTAAGTTTATTGAATAGCTTATGTTGGATTTTTGCATGAATTACAATGATGTGCTTCCATAGCAGGAATGTTGGGATTTGGCACAGATTTATCAAACCATGAAAACATGAAAAAGCCATGAAAATATGAAATAGCAGGAGCCATTTTCAATGGCTCCTGCTATTTAAACAGGGATTTCGAAAGAGGAACTAATTGTACAAATATTCTTAACTTAATCAAACGCCATTCAAATGGGAAAATTTAGAGATTTTAATCTATTCCAAAACATGATGTTATTCAGAGGATAGGGTATTTTTGGGATTTTCTTAATGTGTATTTTTCTGAGAATTTATTCGCTTTAAACTTCAGGAAATAATCTTTTAATTGGCATCTTGACTGTTTATGACTCTTTGTGAAAGAACAATTTCTACATCTTAAAATTAATAAGAGGAATCTATTTTAAGCTTATGATTTAATATAGAGAGACTCTTATGAGACATTCTATATTACATATCTATATAAAAATAATTTAATCATTAAAATGTCAATTCCCTTACATATATTTTAAATATAAATAAAATGTATTAAGTATTTTAATTTAGGCAAAAATTATTTGCAGTAAAAATTTAAATAAAATTAGTAATGATTTATAAGCAATGTACATAAGACTAAACTTAATGCTAAATTAAAGTTTTCTTAAATTTTTCCTTCATTTGTATTCAGAAGATATACATAATTCGTTTGTGAATTGCAATTCAACAAGTATTGATAAATCCTGACACAAGAAGAATAATTCGAAAACAATAATTCCAAAGGGATTTTATTTCATAATAATAACCATGACTTAGTCATTTTATAAAAAGAGAAAATAACAAAATGCTGACCAGGCACATTTTAAATATGTATTTTTCACTCTAAAAGTTTGTTTTTGATTGACTGTAAAAAACCAAATTGAAATCAGAAAGGAAAACTAAATAACAAGGTATCGAAGAAACCAAATGTATAAGAACTGAGAACACTTTTTCACAAATTTAAACTGACATTGTCATAAATAAACAGTTAGCAATACTTAGTACTAAAAAGACGAATGCTGCTTTTTTTACTCCTCTAGGTTTTGTTGCTCTGTAATTCAAAAAATAAATTACTGAAAGTGTTGAATTTTTCTGACTTTTCATATTTTGATCTAGTTTAAGTGTACTTATTTAATCAATCATGTCTAAGCCTCATAGAAACATATATACATAGAACATTACACCTAGAATGAGACGAAGAAGCAGAGGGCCTCTAAGGTATTTTGGTAGGTATCACATAAGACAAGGAATATTTGGGTTTAATATACCCTATGGTATGTATCAGATACTCCGGTTTCATTAAAAGAAAAGAAAATTTCAAAATATCTATAATTATTATTTATAGAGAAAAGGAAACTCAATTAACCAAGAAACATTGACTTTTCAATTACTCATATAATTGAAGAGTCAATGTTCCGCTTAAACAAATATTTTTATTAACCAAATAGAATAAAATACCATAAATTTTGATGATCAAGTCCCTAATACATTTTTTAATAAATTAATTATAATTATCTTTAAAATGTTGGATGTCTAATTGATCTACACACACAATCTGTGGGAAGGGCCACACTAGTTCTTTCAGACTTTCTATGCATACAGCAATTTTCCATCTTTCTAATTTTAAAAAGAATTATCAACTGTTGCACAACTGACATGCATTATCTGTTCTGCCCAAAACTGAAATTAAAGAGGAACTATTTTAAACTATATAAATTTATCAATTTTCACAAAATTACTTCAATTTTGGATAAATATACTTTCAAGGTATGCAAAAAAAAAAAAAAATTTGTCAAGATTTACAAGTAGGTAATTACAAATAGGTAGGCTTGAAGTAGACACTTTCAGCATTGAGCTTAAGTGTATTGATATTAGTATTGATAAAAATTAAAATACATCAAAAACAGAGGTTAATTGATACCAGTTAAAATAAAATAATGACTAGTTTTTATTTTATTCATTTATTTATTTTTTTGCATCCACATGCATAATTTACTGTCTTTTAAGTTTTTCTTATATAGTTATCTATTGTGGCAAAAATCTGAATATCATTTCAGGTCCAACAATAAAAAGCAATAAGCAAACAATGTGTGTAGATTAAATAGTATTTTTTATTAATTTAATGTTATTTTTAAATAAAATCTAGCCATGTCAGGCAAATCAAAGCTAAGATTTCTGTAGTTCTTTGATACTTAAAAAGTAAATAGGTAAATTAATTTATTTCGTGCATTTATAACAAATTAATATTTTCCCCTTGTTTAAAATACAGAAGAATTCCCCTTGTTAAGAATAAAGATTGTTTAACAATTAGAAAGTTAAACTCTTTACACATTTTCAGATCATTCTTTACATAAGAGGTTCACAACTTTTTTAAAGTGAAAGGCAACTTACACAGTAGGTTGATTAAAGAAGGGCCATGCACACATTAAGACATGTTCACAGCAAACATGGCAGTTTTAATATGAACTTCAGTGTTCTAGGCACTGAATTTTTTATCAATTAACTCAGCAATATATTTGAAGGAAATAAATAAGACTTTTAATTGTTAAAATTCATTCAAGAAGGAAAAAACTGACAATTTTTTTAAAGAAAAAATTCTCTCTTTATCAAAAATAGATTCATTAAAAAAATATATAAAATCTCATGAAAAAAATTTTTTTTATCATATCAGAAAATGCAAAGGTTCAGTTTAAAAAAATTTTAACAAAACATTCTAAGAAAAAAACGTAAATTAAATGCTCACAGAATGAAAGTACAAAAAACATTTCAAATATATTTAACGAATAATATAAATTCAAATTAAATATTTTAATTAATGAAAATTTATGGAGTTTAAACAAAAATCAAAACAAAACTTTTATAATACTAAATGAGATTCAATGTTTAATTGGTAGTGTACTTCAGATATTATTCCTATATATCGAATTATTAGATGTTTTATAGATATTAAAAAACGGACGTTCTCTATTTTGCAAAACAAAATCACTCAAGCAACAAAATATTGAAAACAAAATTACAAACAGAGAGCAATTTTAAAATTCAAGTTTTCCTCCACTTTTCGAATTTTCCATATTGCAATAACTCTAATATTATTAAAATATTGAGATTCTAAAAACCTCATGGCAAAGCATAACACTATCTTCTGAAAAAATAATGGAAAAATAACTCAGACTTACAATTAAAAGCACACAAATAAATTATACTAAAAATGGATTATAGTGATGTAATAATATTGCATTTAAAATAGCTATAGCGATTGTAGTTTAATATCAATATGTAATTACTTAAATACGCAAAAATTACATTCGCATGTTGTAATACAAATATCAGAATTTTTAAAACCATGTGGAATTGGGAGTGTATAGCAACAATTGCCGAAAAATGGTTGAAAAATAACTTGAATTTATGATGAAATTCGCACAAATAAAGTATGTCAAAAAGTGATTACATGGCAATACATGTAATCACTTGCAATATTACTGTGTTGATGGTTGACGTGGTGACAGGTCAATATCGGAATTATAATCGGAAAAAAAATATCGGAATTTTTAAAACCATGTGGAATTGGGAGCGTATAGCAATAACAGGTGAAAAATAACTTGGATTTATCATGAAATGAGCACAAATAAAGTGCGTCAAAAGGAGATAATGTAAATGTGCGATTTAAAACTTGTGTGTTGTAATAATATCATAGTAAGAATACAGATTTTGAAAATATGTGGAAAAGGGTACAGTTAAAGGCTTAAAAAATCATTTAGATTTACAATAAAATCTACACAAAGAAAGTGCATTGAGAAGTCAAAAATTAAATGCATAATTCAACTTTGAGATTCACAATATCGTATTAAAAATATCAAGATTTTCAAAACTATGGCAAAATATGATGTAAAAACAGCCGAAAAATAACCAGGGACTTTAGATAAAATCAGCTGGAATGAAAAAAGTCAAAAAGTGATTTATTAAATGCGCGATTCATAACTCACGAGTCAAAATATTATATTAAATGTCTCGGGATTTTAAAAACTGCATCGAAATTGGTAATAGTAAGTGCCAAAAGAATGATCAAAATGTTCCATGGATTTACGATGAAATCATTAAAAGTAAGGCTAGTTAAAAAAGTGATTACTAAAATTAGAAATTCTTGTATTGCAATATCATATTAAAAATATTGGCAAAATTCCATAGCCATAACCATTGAAAAAGAGATTGAGAAACAATATAGATTTATAATAGAGTCTTTGCAAATTAAGCACGCCAAAAAGTGATGAACATATATTTCATTCAAAATTTGGATTTTTTTTTTTTCTAAAAAAAATTTCACATTGCATTTAGAAGCCCCTCATAGGCCGCACATTAACAGTCGACGGGGTGCATCTGGCCCCGGGACACAGGTTGTGCACCCCTAATTTATAATATATTGCTGAGAGACTTTTCTCACACCTCTTACACTCTATAAGTCCACTTCATATTCAGATGGACTACTTCTTTAGTATGCCTTCTAAAAAAAATCTACTTAAAAAGTTTTGTTACATTTAATAATCTTATGATTTCATAAAAAATTTTTCATAAAAATCATTAATTAAATTTAATCTATTTCTTCAGCGGATTCAAAAAATATAATTTTAAATGATTACCTAGCAGTTTTTTATTATTAAATTCTAACATTGGTAAATCTAAGAGAAGGTCGATAATGCCCACGAAATGTTATATTAAAAGCTAATGTTACAATTCTATATCATTTTAACAAAACTTTTTGAACATATGCGATATTTGTTGAATTATACTTTCATTGTGCACTAATGGACTAATAGATGAAAAAAATGGTAAATACAGAAATACAATCTAAAAGATAAAAAGCGTAATCAAAATAACAAATTAGCTTTGAAACCCTTTAACTGTTGTTCTCCATTTCAGACTATAATTTGATGCTTTCCTGCAGAACAAACCAATTTTTCTCAAAGCTATACTATGCAAAAATAATTCTTAGCAAAAGCACTTTTTACACATTTTCAAAAGTAACTTGATAAAAATATTACTTATTTTCAAAAACCACATAACTTAAATAATGTCTAGTTAATAATGAATTTACTAACTAGATTGATTAAAACACAAATCAGTAACATTACCTGATAGGATCTTCTTTTTCCATAATTAAATCATGAGATTCACCTTCTTCATTTGTGAAAACCCAAAACCAGGCTTGTAATTTTTCATCACTAGTTATTATTAAAGAATATAACCATAAACAAGAACATAGAAAACTATGGCAAATAATCTGTCCCGTTTTAAAGATTTTATTCAAAATTGCAAAGAAATGTTAATTAAAAAGAAAATCTTAGTGTATTAATATTAAAAAAAATCTAAATAATTTAATAATTAAAAATGAAATTAATATTTTTGAAATGAACAAATAAAGCTTTACTACTTCGCACATGTTTTAGTAAAAGAAAGACACAACCAAAGAAACACTGAAAGAAACCAACCAAAGAAACTCTCCTTTTTTCACTGAAAGAAAATATCACTGACGATGATGAGAAACTAACAGCTTTCCTTAATCAGGTAAGCATTTGCGATATTTACAAACATACCTGTTTTTTTTTCCTTTCTACCAAAAAGAGATTTTATCCCCTTGTTCAATGAGAATGTTGTATAACTGAATAGAAAATTTTAGTCAGGCTTGCAAATGTGAAACGATCAAATCATTTAGGATTTACAGCTTGTAATGTTTTCAATAATTTAAATGGATTTTAGAACTTAATTTAGAATCTGTGCTAGAATTTAAAAGAAATGACAATAAAATTGCAATTTTAATAATGTCCGATACTTTTTACTAGTTTTAATTTTATTTGGAACGTTGACTAGAAAAGCGAAGAAAAAAAATTTTCAAACTCAGATCTACTTTATGATGAAGATACTCATTGAGTTATCAAAAACTTCTCACTAAAGTTTCATTAAATGTCTAAATGTGCTAAGCAGTTCTAGAAATGTTTGACAGGAAATTTAAAGTATAGAAATTGAGCTGTAAAGAAGTGAGGCAATTTAGTCAAACTCCAAACATTTATTTAGAGCAAAATTGGTCTAGATTACTATATAAAAATGATGAACACAAATGGCATGATTTAATAATACAACAAAACATGATGTTGTTTTTGACTCTTTTGCAAGTTAATAGCCTTCTAGGATGGTAAATGCATGAGGGCGAAATGTAAAAGAGAATTTCCTATTTATATCCATTAGACTAAAGTGAAAAACAACATGATTAAAGCAGAAATCAAGTACAGAACTAAACATAATATAGTTCTGGTTCTCTAAACAAGAACCTTCCTCAGTATCTAAACATCAAATGACATTAAAAAAATTAAAAGATTAACACATGCAAAATGGATTAACCAATCAAGACAGTTCAACAAGTTAGAACAATATAATAAAAAGGACAATAAGAAACAGGTGTGAGGGGGCTTGGTGGGAAACCCAAAGGGGCAAAAGATTAAATTAGATTAGGTTTACATTGGGAAAGGGCACACTAGAAAGACCAGTATCTAAATTTCTTTCAAAATATGAATTGATTCCCTTAAATCAAGTACAGTAGATGAAGAGAAATGTTGAATGGTTTAAATAGAAGAAAACTCAAACCTAAGATAAAAATTTAAACAGCGCAGAGCAATGGAAGATCAATCTTTCATACAGTTGGAATATAGTTTGAATTCTAAATATAGGATTGAGTTTTTATCTTAAAATCATTCAACAATGCTCATCTACTGAACTTGATTTCTGGGAATCACTCCATATTTTGATAAAACTGAGTAAATGATCTTTCTAGTATGTCTAGTATATATTTATACTTTCATCACATATTTCACTTTAATCTATGTAGCACAAAATATACCCTGTCCTTTTGGATAAATCCTTTAGTTACAATAAGATAAATTTATCATAGTTTTAAAGAAATTGCAGATTTTATTATAACATTGATATATACTATTTTAACTGTGTTTTCACTACTTAAATTATATTTTATTCTTAAAATATAAAAACAGTATATAAGAACATTAAAATTGAATTTTAAGTCTACTTAAAAATAAATATTACTTGGATAACGAGCAACTTAAAATTTAGAGACTAAATATTTTAGAGTCTGAGAAACGCAGTACTCATTAATTAATATAAAAAATACAAACAAAATTACAATAATTAAAAAATGACAGTAATCAATAAATTATTACAAATAAAACAAAAGTAATTCAAACAAATTTTCATAAATATTCAAAATTGGAAAGGATACAATTTTGATGGTGTTTGCAGATAATCTTTTGGAATAAAAATGTCATCAAAAAATCCTAAAGTAACTGTAAGAAAAAAATCATTGCAACGTTAAAAATATTTAAATCATCTTTTTTATATAATTTACAGATTTATAACATAATTATTTATAAATATTGTTGTGTAATGAATTATTTTCAAATCTATGAAAATTGAATAGAAAAAAATCTATAAGATTCTTTTAAAAAAAAAGAGAGTCTTCAGGCACCTTAAATGAAAACATCTTAAAATAGCAAGAAACTGTCCTGGGACAGATACAGATGTCTTAGTACAGATGGGAAAACTGTGCCAAAAACAGGTAAAAACAATTCACGCAAAATCTGGTTTTTGTTGGATAAAAGAGTATCAACTAGTTGATTCCAGTTTTTACCAAACAAAATGTCCAAATTACAATTTATGAAATATGCATAAACATATCTGATTTGTAAAAATATAATAAGTGAGTATATTAGTTTTTACTATCAATCAAAAACTTTGTTTACTAATAATGCATATTTTGAAAAATATACATTTCTTTCTAATTTATAAAAATATAACAAGTGAGTATATTAATTTTGACTGTTAATCAAATACTCTTAATTACTGATTTTCATAATGCCCCATAACATTACAAAAATTAAAAGATAATACAACTACTTTTCAAATAAAACTATCAACATAATGAAGCATGTCATAGAAAAATATGAAATATAAAAGTGACCAACTAATTATAAATATATGTTCAAATTTAAAAAATAAATATCTTTTATTATGAATATTGCAATGAATAAATTTTTTCAAAAAATGGCAAGTGTAACTATTTAGCAAATCAGAATCCATTACGGAAATACAATTCATAGGAATCCATCTATTTCAGAAAAGATTTTTAAAAAATTCCAGACATGGATGTAGACTTCATCTCAGTAGGTTGTACAGCCTCTTTACAACCTGCTGATTTGTCCTGAATCTCACCGTTCAAGAGCGCCCCCCCCCTGAGATGGGCACATTCATTCGTTCAAAAAAAAAAAAAAACAGGCCAGGATCTTGGATGTGAAAATTTTTGCTCCGGCCGCTTCAGAAGAAACCATCACTTATTCATTCAAGAAATATGGGATATCAAATGAATTAGATGAAAGTGAAGATGGGTTGTTCCATTCTTGCTCAATGGAGAACAATGTATCATTAGCAAAAATAGCTGACAAACGAAGAATAAATACATCCATTTTTTCATAATGCCTTAGACTCATAATTTGAAGGCCTTCCCGATTTTGACTAATACACTTGTGAATAAATATATTTAAATTAAATCTTTCGTTATTTGTGTTTATACTTAATACAAGAAATTTCAATTTCTCGCTAATTGTTTTTTGACAATACGATTGTAATAATTTTAAAAAGAATAGTAAAGACAAATTATTCAATATACAGCTCATTTATTTAAATTATTTAATTTTATTTGTTTTATACTTAACCAAATCAAGCAACATTTTTGCCTAATTAAATATGTTCGATTTTCTTGAAAAATTTGCATTTTTCTCCAAACAAGAACCTTCTTCAGCTAAACATCAAAATATTTGGTTTTTAGGAAATTCAATTTGTAATTTTTTTGGTGTTTAGACACTGCAAAAGCTTCTCGTCTAGAGAACCCAAACTATAGTATATTTATTTCTGTACTTGATTTGTGTTTTATTCACATATATTTTTCATCTTAGTCTATGTAGCACAATGTATACTCCTATTCTTTAGGATTTATCAATAACTTTACATTAAATTAATTACACAAGTTGAAAGGACATGTTGCACTAAACACATGACTTTATCTACACAATAGAAGATTATTTTCATACTTCAATCATAAAGAATATATATAATTTTAAATTATTAAGAGATTATATCAATTCCTAAATTAAATCAAATCCTAAAATTAAAAAACTACAAAAGATATAGTAATTTATAGATATAATAATAGAATTCTTTTTATAACTCACTATAAATGCCTTCTCTGTTTAAACTTCTTACTTTGCCAACCAAAACTTCATTCATGAATGGACGAAAGACGACATAGCTGAAATATACTGAGAGAGAAATTGATAAGCTACAGATAATATTAAAAAAATTAAAATGATTAATTAAATCAAACTGATTGTAAGCAAAATATCAAAAAACAATCATGCAAGTACAGAGAAATAATAATCAAAAATAATGAAAATTTTAAATTTTCCGGTACTGTAAAAATTTTTTTGTATTGCATTAAATTTAGTTTTAAATTTAGCTTTGCTTTCATTTTAAACAGCTGTATTGCCAACTTTAATTTCTTCCAATTTCTTTCACCGTCCTGTCCAGTTTTTTTCCTTTTTATTTATTTACATCACCATTTATGTCCGACCTACTTAGTAGATATACATATTATACAAGAAACCCTGATTGTGGTTCATGGAAGTTTATTAATTTCACAGCAAAATTCATAATATTGCTAATAATTTTAAAAAATTCTAAATTGTATTTGACTTTTAGGCATTAAAAATCGAACAGAGGGTGGTAATTTATCTAAAAATATTTATTAAATTTCTGCATTGAAATGTAGATTCCTGCTATACAAAGAAAGCGAAGTACAAAGTAAGTTAACTAGTTATATATCGTCAAAAAACTGCTAAATTTAAAGAAAAAAATGCTGGTATGTACAATAAAAAAAGAGTAAAGAGAGCTGGCATACAGAGTTATAAAAAATTTAAAACAATTATAAAAATTAATGATTGTCAAACAAATTTCGTCAAAATTAGAAAACAACAAAAAAGTTGAAATTGGTTTATGAGAGTCAATAAATTCCATACATAAAGTTTTTTAATATTTCGTGGTCACAGAAAGTTTTCAGTTTTTTCTAAGTTCGTTACTTGGAAAATATCATATTTATCCTCATTGAAGAAATTCCATATCGTTAACTTCACCAAAAAGTACCAAATTTCAGTGGCAGTTTAGCTTAATCTAAGTCTGCCATTTGGAAAATCTTATATTGTTTATTATTGAAGAGATTCCATATCGATAATTGAGCCAAAAAAGTGAAGAGATTTCAGCAGGAGGCAAGCAGTAGCACCCAAGAAAACAATGAAAAAAAACAAAAAAAAACTTGAAAATTTGACAATATAAATAAAATTAAATAATTTTATAAAATTAATTAAATAATTTCATTACCTCTAGTATGGGATGCACCATCTCCAGGAAAAATATATGACTCTTCTAGTTTTGTTATTTCAAACAAAGCTATACACAAACCAACATCCAATACAACCTATAAAATACAAAAAGAGTAATAAATAAAATATCAAGTGAATTTCATAGAAAAATAAAACCAAATTAGTTTTTTGAGAAGCTGGTCAGTTTAAAATAAAACCTTATTCGCAAATTTTAAACGTAGTTCATCAGCTACAGCATCTTTCAAGGGTTTCTCGAACAACCAGGGTGGTATTCGAATAGTATCCTTCATTTCAACTAGAGAAAACATCTTGATTTATAAAGCAATAAAAGCTATTTCCCCTTAACCATTTGATTATTAGATTGGTTTATTTATTAATTTTATTATGTTTAGAAATGAGCAGTAAAATATGCTAGGATTTTAAAGTCAAACCATAACTCTTTGCTTTAAGAAGCAGAAATTTATTTGTTTACATTTTAGATACTTTTCCTTATGTTAAACAGTTTACAGTTACAAGTTCAATGATATTGAAATTTTCTTTTGCTCTGAACTTCGATTACATTAACTTCAACTTACAAACTTCTTGCACTGCATTACTGTTTTGACTGCATAAAATTCACGCACCTTTCGACATTGAGAGAGAAGAAAAGCCTGATTGAAAAGCCCATGTTTTTCGTGAAGGAATATATTTAACCAATCAGGTTCTCAATCTTCTTCAATGGGGATTAGAGGTGCTCAAATTACATGCAGCAAGAATGGCTGACTCTTTAGGCATGCACAAATTGCATGCAGTAGGAATATTTCGTAAACAAGGAACAATGAGTAAAAGAACTATTCACACTGCATTGCGTATGAGAATTAAGAGACGCAAATGGAAATTTGATTTGCGAGTTTTTCAATCAGTCAACTCCGAACTTGCGACTGCTATTTTCTTCTCATGCTGTGTGTGAATGCTCCAGAAACGATGACTAGTATTAATAATTTAAAATACGAATTCAGCCGAATATGAATATTTAAGAAGAAAAAAAATCAATTAAAAAAGAACTTTGAAAAGAAAGAAAAAGAGCAATGAATTCCAACGAAATTAAAAATTTTTAAGAAAAAATATTTAAAGGAACAAATTTTTAAAGTTTTTGAAAAACATAAAACAAGAGATAAAATTTAAATTTTAAAAAAAAGAAATTTTAAATTTTGAAGTTTCATGAAATTTAAAAATGAAAAAGAATTTAAAAATCAAGAAGAATTAGAATTTTAATGTCTGTAAAAATGAAATTAATTTACAAAAATGAAAACTTTTAGTGAGCTCGATGTTAAAAAAAATTCTTTAATTAAATCACAATCTATAAATCATAATTATTTTCAATCATCCATTAGTTGCTAATTTCATACTAGAGACTGGATGTTATATTTTTCTAAAGATAACCATATTTGTTGGGTAAAAGATGCAAAATGGATAATAAATTTGAAAAGAAAATTAGTTTTGGTTAATGGATGGGTGGTCTAATGTAAACAATAACAAACGTCCTTAAACCGGAAGAAATTTAGAAAATTTCCGGTGTATCCCTCCGCTCATGTTATGTCTACGAGGCGATGAGTGAACAAGCCAAATATTCTATGCAGTTTTGTTATTGTAATTTGGGTTCAAATCTAAACATAATTGTACCATCCATAAGAGCTTTCAGAAATGTATTGATTCTCAGAGGTCGTAAGGCCAAAAAAATTTTTGGAAAGTTAATATCTCACTGTGAATAATTCTTAAGGTTTGCCATGTTTTGTATTTTATCCCATATTTGGCTACATTTGAATAAAATGTCGCCAAAAATATCTTTTTAAGTTAGTCTAATTAGAAAATATTCTAATGATTATAATATTAATATGATAATGCTGAAGTTTAAAGGCTGAAAGAAAGAACTCGGTACATGTGAAATACTGCAAAAGATATGATACAATAATATGATGGCGCGTTTTTTCAATCTGCGGCGTAAAAATATATCGGAAGCAGTAACCCGGAAGTCTTGAAAGAGCAATTTTACCACTAGCGCCACCACCCTTAGCTTTACACGATCACCCATCCATAGGTTCAAAATAGAGATTCAAGATGTAGATTGAAAATTGAAAAAATATAATGTGGCCATGTGACGGACAATTTAAAAAGAAATAAAGGCCCCTTAAATGCTTGTCATGCGCACTGTCGAGTATCATGATAAATTGGGCACTATAAAACATACAAAGTCCATAGCATCTACAGCACAAACACAAGGGACGCACTGTTTACGAATTTCTAACAAATTTTGCCTTGCATAATTCAGTTGAAAGTAGTGTCAGATTAAAGTATGGGGATTCTATTTTTCGTAAATACTCATGGATAACAAGTTACTTTCTCCAAAACTTTTAAAGTTCTTAACATATATTTATTTAATCCTAAAACCTGATATAGAATTTGAGTATCTGTGGAAGTACCACTAAGTGTGGAAGTGAGTCTTAAAATATTTTTTGGCAGTTTTCGAAAAAATCTTATTTATTTCAAAACATGCAAGGTCTAGAGCACATGTACAGCTTTTATATAAAAGGTAGACGTTTGAAATTTTTTCTTATGTAAATTATTAAATGTATGTAAAAAATCGTATTTATAGTACAAAGCTTACTTGGTCCAAATCATAAATTGCGAATTGGTAATTTGCAAATTATTTATAGGTTTTAGTACAGCGTTCAGGGGGGTCGCGAATTTTTTTTTTTTTTGGAAGTGGGAAAATTCAAGTTTTGCCGAATGAAATTTCTAATTTCACCAAATAAAAAAAAGCGCCTTTTCTTTATATACAATAAAGAAGCATCAAGAGCAGCTCCAGAGAAATGCAACATATAAATAAACATTCCAGAAGACAAGATAAAATAAAATGTTCTTGCTCATTATCATTATTTCTAATTAATTCAAACATACATAATTTATCTGATAATCATTGAGAAATTGATAATCACTGGTTTTAGAGAAATTTAAAAAATTTCTTCTTACAGTTATTGTTTCAATTTTTATTTCATTATCACTAGAAAAAAAGTGTAAGTGTTGGCAGTTAAGAAACAAATATGATTTGTTTAAAATATCAACATGCAAACATATTTTTGAAAGTGTTATCTATAATAAAATCAAATTTACTAACAGCTGAGGAAGTAGATTTACTATGACCAATGTGAAATAATTTTCCTATACAAAAATCAATAGATATTTAAACAATTTCATTTATTTATAACTCTAAAAATGAACAAGGTAATATTTAATTGATATATTAAAATACATTTATTTATCGAATTTGAAAAGTAGGATAAGAAACCATAATATTTGTAGTATATAAGTATGTGTACATGAAGATGTAATTCATATGCTTAAAAAAATTATGTTGGTGCTAATATTTCTGGAACAAGTTAATTTTTCAGTAACATATAAACGATTCAACGATTTTGTACTTAATTATTCTAGTTAAAAATTAAAATAATAAATGAGTCACTTGATAAATAAATATAAAAAATAAATAAATTTACAGTTAAGAAGAAGACATCATTTTCCCCATATATTCCACGAACCGAATAGCGAATAACTTATTGATTGCAAATTTCGGCGAATACAGAATAGAAATAAAATATTCTATGAGTGGAGCCCCGTAATTAATAATCTATTAAGTGTCCAAAGAATGTAAAATATACGCATTTTTCTTAACCTTTCAGATTAGTATTCTGCTTTGCAATAGAAAAATAATCGTAAGCGAGAAAAATTCAAAATTGAGATTTTACATTACATCTATCATATGTTGACGCATCTAAAAGAAAATAGTTATCTAGAATTCTATCTTGCAAGACGTACGTTATTTTTCAATGGCACTGCAATATAAAAAAACACCAACATTTTTTTAAATTTAATTGCTCGAAACTAATTAAAAAAATTTTTAAAAAAAAGGTTCAACAGTTTTTTTTTTTTAAATTTGCAAAAAAAGAAGAAAAAAATTACATTGTTCCATCTTATAGTATTTAAGCTATGATAACGTGAAGCATGTTAGGAGAAAATTATCTGAAATAGTGTTGAAGGTGGCAGTAACTTTTTTTTAAAAACCTTAAGAGATAATCAAAAAATTTCCATTCAACTTAATGCCGTTTACACAGTTTTTTCCTCTTAAAATTTTTTTATCTGTATTTTTAGATATTAAGATAAGTTTCTGCTGTATGCAATTAAATTGGTATTTTTATTCAACTTTGTGCAATCTGCACTTCAAATCAAAGTTTAAATCAATCAAAGTCTTTCTTCATTTATCATTAAAATTAAAAGAGGAAACCGAAGTCGTCTTTCGTGTCCGATTGGTTGAGACATCCGGCTCATAGCTGGGAGAACGGCAGTTTATATCGCAGCTATTGATTCTATTTAATTTTCATTTCTTCATCTTAAAAATGCATTATATTTTTAAATATTTATTTGAAATTATACTTTGAGAAATTATCTATTTTTATGTGAAGTCTATAATTTTTTAAATTAAAAACGCTTAATTTTATATTTTCAAAAAAAATTCTTTAATTTTGATTTTTTTCTGACTGAAAAATGTTTTATTTAAGGAAAAAAAAAGCAAAATAATTGTAATGATTTAAGTTTTCCGACTAAAAGGTTTTTACTTTTCTATGTGTTCATTTTTTCCTACTTACTTTTTTAAAAAAAAAAAAAAATAGAATGAAAGAATGAGAATAAGAAAGATAAGAAATTGAAATAAATATAAAGAAGTTTTTGAAACAAATATAAATTAAAGAAAGCACTTATAAATTGAATAAAATACTTTATGTTTCTTCAATAAAAAAAAAACATTTTTTTCATTTAGTAGAATAAATAATTAAAGAGAAAGTTTTTGTTAAAGTAAAATTACAAAAAATATGACTTTTATTTATTTATTTTTCTGAAAAAAGAATTTTTTTTTAAATTTCAGAAAGAATTTTGATTTTAGAAGAATTTTAATTTCTTAATAATTTTTCTTTTGAAGAAATCCTATTTAACTAACGGAAAGAAAATAATTTCCTTTTAAATTCGTAAATAACTTTTTAAATGGTAGTTAATTTTTTTAAACATATGCCTGAAATAAAAAGAACACAGGTTTCAGTTGTAAAAAATTAAAATTAAAAAGTGTCATCAACTGGAAAAGAGCCACCGTTCACTCAGATGGTAGGTATTTTAATCATTTGGTTAAGAATTAACAGGTTGCGTAAGAGCTTTTAGTTTTAATAATTAATGAACACAGGCCCAGGGATCACAGATCTAGACCCAGGAGCNGGCAGTTTATATCGCAGCTATTGATTCTATTTAATTTTCATTTCTTCATTCTTAAAAATGCATTATATTTTTAAATATTTATTTAAAATTATACTTTGAGAAATTATCTATTTTTATGCGAAGTCTATAATTTTTTAAATTGAAAATGCTTAATTTTATATTTTTAAAAAATTATACTTTAATTTTGATTTTTTTCTGACTGAAAAATGTTTAATTGAA